AGTTGCTCTCTGGCTTCTCCCTCTGTGAAACCTAGGTTGTTTTGGAAGTTGCGTGTTTAGAATCAGTAGGGCCACAGGTTCAACTGAGTGGATAGAATGTGTGAACAATTTTAATTTTAGTGGCATTAGAGACAGAGATGTGGCGACACCACTTGGCTAACTTTGCCACAACAAGTGGGAAGTCCATTTACTCTTTTGACTGTAGTTTTAGTTGTGTTTGAAATATGCAAAAACGGTTTGCATAGTCTTGTAGCTGTGGTTCTGCGGTTTCTTTAGAGGTGCTGGTTGACAATATTTATTAAATTTTTGGGGGAGTTTTGTGGCATGACAGCTCTTGTGAAACTATTTGCCACCCAATTGGGGGGCGCTTGGGCTGGAAGTGCTAATGCAAAAAACGTGTTATGCTCACTAGTCGGACTAAAAGGAAATAAAGATCTTTGTTTTGCAGACTTCCAAATACGGGAACTATCCGGTCAACACAAGCCCTGCTTTTAACTGTTTTTTCTTGTGAAAATAGATCAAATGAAACTTGATTAACACCAGAGCCAGGCGCACTGCACCGTTGTCTCCGTCACTGTAAATGAGGGAAAAACAAAATGATCGGATCCTTTTCTGACCTTCCCCACCTACAAAGTTTAATTACAACAATCAAACGTGACAGAGCCTGGATTTGTATTCTGAACAGTCTAAACATGTTTTAAAAAGAAACGTATGACAAAAGTGACACCTGCTCAGTAAAACCACCAACAGGGTGAAAAATATCAACATACTGTAGGCAGAGATAGGCTACAACTTCTGGATCCACTTTATATAAATCGTTTTATTGATTATCATCTTATGAAAGAACTTTTATGTACACAAGCGACCGGTACTGGCTGCTGTCACCTGTTGTGATTGTTTAAAGCAGCTCTCTGCTGTCTGAGGGTAGGCCCCGCCCACAACGCCGCGGCTGCTGTGGCTCCCAGTGTTTTCTTTACTGTGGGAAACGGGTAATAATGGCTCTTTGATGGGAACAGGTTGCCGACCCCTGCACTAGGTTGACTAGAAGATAAGTGTCTGTGACGAAGCTAACTATTTGGGTCACATCATCACAGATCAGCTCTGTAACAATGATGACATTTACTCTACTGTTGTACTTTGCATGCCCAGGCCAACATTTTGGTCAGGAAATTCCTCGTTCTGATAATGTAAAAAGTCCACCTAGGTAAAACCTACTGCACAGCTTTGTATTAGAATTCTCACAGCGTGAAAATTTAACCTCACGGTTATTGTGACCAAAATTATCACGGTTTTTGGTATTATCGCAGTATTTTTTTTAAAAGTGTTACATTTTCAGACAACTACATAAACCCTGTAAATCAGGAAAATATTGTCCTCAGTTTGTGTCTAAATTTTGCCAGATTCATTAACAAGTTAACTGCACTAAATACCAAAAGCTCTCTCTACTTTAATGAGGAGTTGGCCATTATCACCGGAGGCTCTGCACTCACAAGGACACATAATCCGTGAGCTCACCTGCTGTCTCGTCTGCTCCGGCTAATGAGTTTATGCTGGAAGTTAGTTTCAGAATGCAGGATTTAACATTTTCACTTATTAGCTAAAAACAGACTGTATCAGGGGCATCGACCTGACCAGTGACTAATCATCCAATAAACACTTAATAATCACCCATAATTCACCTAATGATCGAAGTACACCCAGGTGTTCTGGATGCAGATCCGATCCTCACAGCTGAGTGGAATACTGCTCCCAGGTTCTTCTCCTGCTTCCCACTTCAAACGAAACAAAGCTTCCATTTTGACTGGCAGGAATATTCCGCATAATTCCATCTTTTGTCCAGTACAACAAAAGGATCAACAGTTCTGTTTGGCTTGTCTCCGTCAACATGTTTAATGGCCGCCCTATCATCCACCAGAGCTCTGATGAAGCCAAGCTTTAAGGGTTTATTTACAGCAGCACAAGGCCACAGCTGAGGGAAGAGTTGATGTTAAGTGTTTTTCATCACGAGAATCATCTCTTCTTGCACTCACAGAGCAGTCGCTTCTGCTTTGCTCCCTTACCTGCTTTTTTTTTCTCTGCATTTCCTCTGGAAATCACTATTTTTCAGAAATGGATTTAATTAATTGGTCATTCAACGAGATTGGTAAGATTTTTTCTACGATGAGAATGGAGGAGGGGGCTCGCGCTTGCCCTCACGGGACACACGCAGTGGGATATATGCTCAATTCCTGGAAGAAGTGGAATGTCATCTGTCTCTCTCAGCTGTCCATTGACGACATAGAAGATATATGGATATTTGGCCTGATGATCACTGGATTTCTTCTGATTGGAGTGGGAGGATATCTGGTTTTCCGAAAAATTGGGATGACGGGAGCGATTGGAGGGCGAACCGCACCCATGGGCGGCACCGTCCGGGCGGAGACCTCACAAACTGGGACGTTACTCGAGGTGAATCGCAAGCTGGACAATGTCTTAGCTGCGTTACCGGTGTCAGTGCGTAAAATGGATGTCATCTCGGAGAGGGTCACCCGACGGTGTGGAGATGTTTAATCACCGAATTGGCTTCACTGGAGGACTTAAATGATCAATACAGACTTTAAGGCAGAGAGGAAAATTATCTCTGCCTGACCCAAACAAAGTCCTGTTATCCAATCTGACGCCATAAGCAGCCTTGGAGTTGCGTGCAAAACCCCCCACGATGGAAGGAATGCAGACAAATGCTGTGAAACCCTACCTACCCCCACGTGAAACCCCCCCCCCCCCCCCGCCTTCAGATTGTGGTCTCTGCATCGAGGTCATCAAGATGGAAGCACTCACTGTGCTTTGTGCTTTCCCATGACCTCCCACCCACCTGTGGATTCAGTTGGCCAAGCGCCACACAGGCTGCTCCCGCTGAGGAAACCAGGGTCCCAGCCCCCCCCCCCCCCCCCTTCCGGGTCTCATATTGTGAACTGTGACCTTCGTGCTTATATGTTGAGGTGTTTTTTTGCATAGTAGAGCTACACCCTGCCGGTGTAACTCTGTTAATGCCTTTTTCTCCATCCCCGAACTCTCCTCATATAATCCCCTCTTCATCTATTGAAATGAGCGCCGTTATGGCTGCTCTCGTGGTCTGCCTGTATCTGTCCTGTCTAAATGTGTGTGTGTAATCTTGGTCAGGCTGTTCTGTGGAGTCAAGTTCCTATGCTCTGGTTCGCTGGAGCGCTGGCAATAAAACTCTTTCTGATTCTGATCTCAAACTAAAAATGATTCAAATGTGAGTAGAAGCCTTTGATGTAACTTTAGTTACTTAATTTAGTTACTTAATTTAATTAAGTGACTAAAGTTAGCTGAAGTTAGCTTAGTATAGCATGAATACTGGAGATAGACATTTGGACAGAAGTTATCAGAAACATGCATGTCTGTGTGTCCCTGTGATGGACCGGAGACATGGCCAAGCTGTCCTCTGGTGACACAAGTCCCCCATGACTCGACTGAGAGGTGGTTTAGATAACAGATGGATTTTAAAAGGGTACGAAGTGCACAGAGGCTTCCAGGGGAGCCTGTGAAATGGGGGACTATTTTCCCTTGGTCACCACTGGAGCATGGGTGACGAGCTCCGCTGCAGCGTAGCGCCTCAGGCACGAACAAAAGACAGAAAGTACCAGAGAACATGAGCGGACATGAACGATCGTGTGTTAACTGTATTTTTCGGTGGTGCCTCTTTGAGAATGTTGATGTAGCCTTGAGCAGGATGCGGCTGCCTGGAGCGCATCAACAATCAGCGCTCTGCGCCCTCTCCACTAAAAAGAAGTCCTGGCATGCTGAGTCCGTATAAATAATGTAACATAGGTTGAAACAGGATCTTTTTTTCGAGCTCGCCCTGGGTGTGTAAGTCGAGGGCATCTAGGGGAGCCAGTCACCCTTTTAGGAGAGCCAGGCTCCCCTTAGCTCCCCGTGAGTCCAACCCTGGATGTTAGACTGATCTGACAGAAGTGAGTAAATGTTGAATTTGGCAAACTGAAATACGAGCAACAAGTGAATTCTGAAGCTGCCTGTTTCTGCAGGAGTGATCTGGGTGAAACCCACTTGGTGGTGCAGCTGGAATGCCTAACAGATGTCGGGTCTCCCAGGCTTCAGAGAAGAGTGTAAAACCAACACCCTATCTTCTGTAGGTAAACTACAGCTGCTGCACATCACCAGCTCTGGCGGTCATTGACTTTTGGGGCTAATATTGATCCAAACCTCAGAACAAGGGGATGAGAATTGTGTGATAAGAATTGAATGAATGAACTAAACCTCCTCACCTTTGACCCTTCTGTTAAATCCGGTTTTGTTTGTTCAGCTGCAGCTCCGCCTGCTGTGTGGAATCTGCCCACAGATTCCACACAGCAGGCTGTAGTACACAACACACGAACAATGAGTTTGGTTTGAGTGTTTCAGACTAATGCAGACTCCAGGTTACACCCGACCTCTGATCTTGGTTTCTGACCTGATGCAGATCAAGCAGGGGCTGAAACGTCGTCACTAAATGAGTGTGCAGGTTTACAGCGAAGAACCTTCTCCTCAGTCCTGTGTGTGAACATTGTGAGCACGTTTTACAGTTTTTACACAACCACACGGAACTTCTGAGTTGAGCAGCACAATATTAAACGTGACCCGATGCCCAGCAGTGTAAACAAAGGCATCCATGTTTTCATCTCTGCTCCTTTTCCAACAGATCCAGAACAAAGACCTTCCTCAGTGGATATTTAGATGAAAAGGGGAGGTTTTATTATTTTTTTTGTGAGGCTCTTAACCTGGAACAGTTTTACCCAACAGCAAAATTAGAAGACAATTACACAACTTATGGTCCTTGAACCCCCCAAGGTGCTTTACAACACAGCCGTTCAGAGCTAATGCAGGTCGGAGTCCAATCAGAGCATGCGTGGCGTGGTGCAGATCCACACGAGGAACTGCAGAATCTTTCTGCATGGTTTCTATATTTTTCAAGATGCTGCATGAATGATCCACACAGGAAGTGAGTGTGCCTGCATCCGGTTTATTTCAAAACAAAACCTGGGCTGCCTCGTTCTGTTGGCTTCTGTTATTGTTTTGAACAACAGGGATTTTAGTTCAGTGTGTGGTTGTCCACATTGGTTTTATTGGTGTATGTTCAGGAAGGTTTCAACTCATTCCAGCAGCAGAAGAAACATCATCTCAGACTCAGAACCGGTCCAGGCCCTGGGTTAGACTCTGAAACACGCGCTCCGTTTCACAAAGACATGATGTGAGATAAAATTTATTGATCAGAAAATATTCTTCTGTAAATAAAGTTCAAAACAATCAAAACAACAAAAGCACTTTTACAATTTGACACAATAATAGTAGAGATAATATTAATTATAATAAAAATACAAATAGTTATAGGTGAGGGCTCCCTGCTGCAGAGATGCCCAGCACTAATACTGTTACACACACACACACACACACACACACACACACACACACACACACACACACACACACACACACACACACACACACACACACACACACACACACACACACACACACACACACACACACACACACACACACACACACACACACACACACACACACACACACACACACACACACACACACACACACACACACACACACACACACACGTATAAAGAAATTGTCACAAAGGTGATCATCAGATTCATATCAAGTGTCCTGAACAAACAGGAAGTTATTGCATCATCATCATCATCATCATCATCCTTTCATCTCAGACCCAACAGAAGGCACCATGAGGAGAACTCTGCTGAAGCAACAGCCGATTGTCATCTTCTCTCAGTCAGGAAACCGGTCCTAAAGGTGCCCCAAGACCCACAGGCACTTTGGTTGGAGTGGTGCTTATTAAGCCCCGCCCCCCTACAGCAAACTTCCCTCTGCAGGAGCTGAAGTTTGAGATGTGAGTCAGAAAATACTTTTGAAGCTGAAACATTTTTATAAATTCTGACAGAGTCAGTCATGATTGTTTAACTCAGCTCTTGTCATCCAGAGTTGACATACAGAGTTCCTGTGTTAAGGAGACTGTGGAGATGAGCTGTTAATGACAAGCTCTGGGAAGGCAGCAAGAGCATTCGATAAACCTGAGAAAAGCTGCTACGGTGGCCCAGAGGGCCAAACAGGGAGAGGGGGTAAACACAGAGTTCATCAGGATTGTCCACGCTTGGAAATATGGCTGTGTGTGTGTGTGTGTCCTTATGGATGTGCAGCATATACGGTGCGTGTGAGTTCAGCCTTGGAAGGGTAGCAGGTGTGTAAACACAAGGTAAAATAAAAACATCCCTGCCAAAAGGTTTGCACTAAATCACAAAAAAATCCTGATTTTTTCACGTTCGTTTTTGTGATCAGGAGCAGAAAGCTGAATAAAACCATGGATTTGATCAGTGAACTCATGTTTCCTGCCGGACTAGCAAAGAGCTGCAACATCTTCCTGTTTTATTCTAACTAAGCAGCTTCACAGTCTCTGAGCTTCCTGGTCATAAAGGTCTGGCTGAGACACGGAGCTGAAAACACCCGACTCAGGTGTGTTTGAGTGACTGAATTCTTCCTGAACACCACATCAGCTGATGCGGGTCCAGGTTCTGACCCAATTTAACAGAAGCGCTCCAGACTCAGGGCTGAAAGCAGCGCCAACAGGAAGCTTCCTGTAAAAAAACACCAGATTAACAAACAAATAAATAAATGTGGAAATGAAACAAACTAAATAACAAAAGTGGTCCCTACATTTTATTTTTAATATATGATGAACTGTATCTCAGTGATATTCAACTTTGACATTTTGATGCTTTTAATTTGTAATCAAATGTAATAATTTATAGTGTTTGTTAATAGTGCGAAAATTAAACGTGAAAAAGTGAAAAAACTATACAAATGTTGAAAAAAAACCCCAAATCATCAACTTGTTCCGATCTTCATATTTCTCTGTGTGTTTGCATTTCCACAAGAATTTATCCTTCAATGTTCCTCATCTGTGTGTGTGTGTTGTCCTGTTGGGCCAGAAGTGATTCTAGAGTCTGGATCAGTTCTGTCGAGGGCTGACTGTCTTTGAGCAAGGCACTAATACTGCTGAGGTTTCACATTCAGACATTAGTCTCTCTCACACACACACACACACACACACACACACACACACACACACACACACACACACACACACACACACACACACACACACACACACACACACACACACACACACACACACTAATACTTTAATATAAAAGCTCTGTAATAACTTTTCTGACAGCTTGATTGTAGCGACGCAGGTGAGTCAATTACAATGATTGTCATTAAGCTGCCCCACCCCCTTCTACCCCAGGGGACGGGGCTCTGGGACACAGGGGAGGAAGAGCCAGGCACTTAGAGCAGTAGGAGACCTGGAGCTGCTGCAGCAAGGAGAGCCAGGAGGAGAGGAGGTGAAGGCACGGAGCTCTTGGAATGGATGGAGGAGGTCCTGATTTCAGAGCTCAGGAAGGCTGACAGGGGCACGTGGGACACCAGAGTGGGGCTGGCGTAGTTGATGAGGGCGTCGATCTTCTCGGCCTCCTTACTGCAAGCTTCAACCTGAAAACCATGACATGTTTGAGGTGAGGAGTTAAAATGGACTCAGGTTTAACAGAAGTGTCAGAAAGCAGGTCGCTATGGTTACAGATGGTTCTAGTTAAAGTCACACCAACACGGATAACGAGGCTCCGCCAAGCTGAGTTAGGCCTGTTCCACCTCTCTCTGTCCGCATGCTCCAGTTATTCCCAGATTATTCCTGTTAATGAGTCAGGTGGAAACAGGAAGTAAACCATAATGTGGTGGACGTTCAGACCAGTCATGCACGCTGCCGGCTCTAAGTTCGACACCTTTTTAAAACTAGTAAGACTCCAGCGGTGGTCCCTGATGCCAGGAATGACAAACACTTATTTCTATTTATGTCTCTTCTACAGTCCTGCCGCTTGTGGTCATGATGTTCTTCATGATGTTGCCAGGGACAAACGGGAGTGGGCTTCAGGAAATGACAGGAGCAGGAACACGTGTCTGTGACCAGTAACCACACTGGTTTCTATTAAACCCACTATCATTTATGGGGCTGTTCTGTAAACAAGAAATAATCAAGATGACTAAATAATGAAGAGGAAGCAGAAAAAGACAGTGAGACAGATGGACCCTCCCCCTCAGTTTACCACCGTAAGCCCAGCAGACACAAACACAGCTATGCTGTTTGTGTTGTGCTCATTTCAGTAGAAGAAGAGATGAAAGCCAAAAGGAGCACCTGTTGTTAGAGCAGCAGATCATGTGCTTCCTGTTACAGGTTAACCAGAGATCAGCTAAGCAGAACTCTAACTACAGCCTGAATCTGGAGCTTCCTTCCCTCAGATGACACAAGAACAATCAAGAGTAAATGAAACATGGTAATAAAAGACTACTCAAACCTCTCTGCCTCTTCCCTGGGGGATGCCACAAGGCTTGATTCTGGGACCTTTACTTTTCTCACTTTACATCCTTCCCCTGGGCAACGTTTTTGCTAATTCTTACATTAACTACCACTATGTATATCCTGGCAAGTCGTCCTATATATGAATACACAGTCTAGCCATGACCCATAGAGAGAACTCAGTTGTAGGGTGGGATCTACAGTTGTCTTTTAAACCATCTCCGCATTGGAGAACCATTGGGCACTGAACAATATGACATTCTCACCACTACGGATGTTAGTCAACAAGGCCGTCTGCCGTACTGTTGAAGAAGATGCACATACGTCCTTTTTCTAAATAAAGAACTTAAGTACTTCTATCAGCTCTCGACTCAACAACAAGCCCAAGCCTAAATAGTAAAAGGTTGACGCTAAAGCCATTTCAAACAAGCAGCTATTTTTGTTGTTCCGCTCTGTTCCATCATCCCATCCACCAAACCAATAGAGTGCTGTGATTGGCCAGAAGAAAATACTGGTCTAGCCTGCTGAGGCTCCTATGACGTGTGACTAGAACAACTTGCAGCGTTAAATCATTTTGCTTCGACTACCGTCTGTCTGGATTTCTAGGTGAACATCTATGCTGATGACTACCAAACCTACCTGGCTTTCAATCTACTTAACTTGATTCAGTCATTCCTGGATTGTCTCTTGAAGGTCAAGAACAGGTTTTCTGTTAAAGCGATACTAAGCACCATGGGACGTCACAAACAGGAGTATAATGGAAAAAGTTGATAATAATGTGTCTTAATATCAAAAGATCAACCCCACACCAACATACATTCATAGTCGATTAATTAGCACAGCATGTGTGCAGTGTTATGTCTTGTGAATCTGGTGACACTACAGTGTACAAGACTTTTAATGTGTTATCATGAGCCGTTTCTAGTGTTTATATTTGCTGACGGTGTCATGTTCTGTGTCCCTTTGGTCCCCAGCCCCCTCCAGGTTTTCCTCATGTTCTCTTAGTCTCCCCACTGTAGTTTCTATAGGTTTATTATTTCAGTTCCTTAGTCTCCTTTAGTGTGTGTTCCCTTCCCAAGTTAGGTCTGGTTTCCTCCCCTGCTCCGTTCTGCTCCTCCTCTCTGTTATTAGTTTCACCTGTACCCAATTCCCCACGTACCTGCTCCTCGTCTCCTATCACCCCAGCCCTGAGTATATAATCCTGTCTGTGTCTCCAGTGTTTGTCGGTTCATTGTCTTTTGTCAGCGTTGCTTTGTCCCCCTCTAGTAACTATAGATTCTGGCTCATGAGGGAGCTTTTTTTTTCTTCTTTTTTTTTTTTTGAACTTTAGAACTTTGGCTTAGAGTCCTGCAGTTTTTGTTTTTTAGTTCTCATCCTCATCCTAAATAAAATTATTTTTTTATTTATACAACCTCTCCAGCCTTGAGTTGTGGTGTTCTGCGTTTTGGGTCCAATCCTCCTGCGCTCGCAGCGTGACAGACGGCCCCTGAGAGGAGCGGTTGTATTAGGTTGTAGCTTTTTCACTACCTTCTGCCACAATACCAAAGAGGTATTCTGATCAGAAGGTATTGAGGTGTAAATGTTGCATCTGTTATATCCTGCCAAATTTACTGAAGTTGTAAATGATACGTAAATACGAGCAGATCAAGTGTAGCAAGGATGGGAGGCAAGATTTAACCAGGATGGATGGGAGTGGGTCGAGCTGACAGGTCGAGCTGACAGGTGGAAGGCTTGGATTTGCAAATTAGGTCTGAGATAGAAGAGGCGTCAGGTGCTGAAAAACAGGAAAATGATTCAGTGAAGGTCAGATCATCAGAGGGAAGTGAGTGGAGGTTGGTTAGACTATGACTCTGGTGGACTTTGTATATTTTCTGGTTAAAGAACGAAAGAATGCTGTTGCAGGTGTCAGTAGAAGTATAAAGTGTGTGTGTGTGTGTGGGGGGGGGGGGGGGGACAGAAAGTCAGGAAGGGGTTTAGGCAGACGGTAAATAAAAGCAATAATGGTGGGAGTTGGTCCAGGGAGCTGAAATGCCAGGCATTCCATAGAGCTGAGCGCAGGAACAGGCATGGGGAGGACTTTCTAAGTCTCACGGTGTATGACCGCGAGACCGCCTCCTCGTGATCCGCGGGATTTAGAAGTGTAAACATAGCCTGGTGGAGTAGCGTCGTTCAGCAAGGAGAAGTCGTCGGGATGTTGCCACGTTTCGACCAAACAGAGAAAATCCAGATTGTTGTCGGAGAGGAGATCGTGGATATGATGGCCTTTGTTCGTCAGGGAGTGGATATTGAGCAGGCCAAAGTTGGCGGCGGAGGAAGACTGCAGGACATCTGGAATGTTAGCCATCCTGGCTGGGTAGGCTAACGCAGAGTGGTCGACGCGGCGGGGAGGCCTCCTTGGAGGGCGACGGGTTGCAGACCAGAACGAGTGAGGAGAATTATGAAATTGAGGTTGTGACTTCTACGGGTGCCCTGGTGTATCTATCTCCGCCGGGGAGGGAGGACAATGTCAGGGCACCAAAGCAATCCAGGAGGTGGAGACCCGGCGTGGGAGGCCCCAAGTCGGAAGAACTCAGCGGCCTGATACAGGCCAGTCACCGGATGAAAACAGTCAGGAAGGAGGGCAAAGAGGAGGACATACAGAGCAGCGATCTTGATAGCCCACATTACGGTTGGCTCGATCCGGCAGGTGGTTGGAGTCTGGGTGTGCAGCAGGTAGGCTGATCACTGTGTCTCCAGGGTCCGCGGGTGTGGGCGGAAGAGCAGGCGGCCGAGTTACAACGTGGAAAGGTTGTAAAATCAATGTTAAAAGCCAGATAGTCCAGGTGGTAGAGTTGTAGGGTCGGTCCTGACACTGAAGATTTAGTGTGGACTCAAAACATCTAGGAGCCAGTACAGTCAAAGCTCAAAGGGTCCGGTGAGCAGCGGCAGCCATTCGCGCCAGCGTCCGCTCTGTCCCGCTACTGTGCTGATCATGGGCTCTCATAACACCTGAGCGGTGCCACAGACTGACGGACTGTCGCTGCATGCTTGCTTAGTATGAGGATTGCTGTAAAGACTCTGAAACTAGTCAGTGACTTGATGCAACCTGCTGGTTCCTTATATAGGAAACTTTTTACTGATTGGCTTATTGGCCTGAACTGTATTGAAATGTTTACTGTGTGAATTTCCTTGAGACGGCTCTTGGCGCTATAAGAATAAACGGAATACTATTAAAAATAGAATAAAGAAGCTTGCTTTTTGTTGGCATCATGATGGAATCTGGAATTGAAAGTTAGGGAATTATTTATAGCCCACACTCTTTTGAGGAAGCTGAAGAACTGACTGATAGTGGCCTGGTTTTGTTGCCACCGGACTTTTGTCCAACAGTGTGAATCTTTTGACTTCGTGGCTTATTTAGTAACACTTGACTTGTGTCAGTGTTAGCTCGTTGTTAGTGCTAGCTAAAGCAGGCTGCTGTAGGGTCATTTATGACAGTTCTAATTACACTTTCAAATTAAATGATGAAAAAAAAAAAGACGCAGTTGTTTTTTCTTCTAAGAAAATCTCCTAAAGGTTCAGAATGCCGTGGCTCAGTTCCTGACGAATACGGACCACCACAGTCCCATCTCTCCTGTACATGCAGACTCGCATTGGCCCCCTGTGCTTTTTCGTATCAAAGTCCTTGTCTTCATCTATAAAATTCTTAATGTCCGGGCCCCTTCCTACCTTTCCAGAATAATTACTCCATACGTGCCATTGCAATCACGGGGACAGCGGATACATGCTCTTATCAGTACCCAAGGTACTTCGTAGGAAGTGAGTGTTTTCTTACGCCACCCCAAAACTCTGGAATGAGCTTCCTCTGCACGTGAGGCAGGCCCTGGTGATAGTTTGCATGAGTCCACTCTTCACGCCCAGTACTTTTATCGTTTGAATGCTGATTTTGTCTCCTTGTATTTCACTGTGTAACTTTTATCTGTCTAGTATTTCAGGTTCTTTTCATCACTGCTGAGTTCTGTATCTTTGTTGGGCTGTCATGCAGTTTTTAAAATGTGTTAGAAATAAACACGGTATGGTAACAAGTCAGGTTTGGTCCTGATGATCCACAGTAAAAGAGCCTTGGTGCTAGCATGCCCACCTATGTCTCTCCTGATGGATGTGTGGTGGGGCACCAGGTTCCTGAGGGGTCCTGAGACATCAAGGACATTCTGTGGTTCCAAACTGTCGACTAGATGTTTAAAATAAAACCTTGAACCACTTGAAACAGTAAAGATCCATGGAAGATGTGGTGGCAAGACGAAGCTGGATTCTGTAAATCTGTTAGATGTCGTGTCTTTAGAGAACAGCGATGAGACCACATGGTAGACTGGGACTAAAACCCAGAAGGCTGATGGTCCAGCCAACCCACGCTGGACATCACTTCCTCTCTGCTGCTTCCCCTCAGACAAAAGGTTATTTATCGAATGACAGATTTATTATTTCTCATATTCTAGATAAATTCTTGTGACTTCAAGGAAGTAGTCCTATCAGACTGTGTCACAGCTGGACCGGCGACCACTTGTCTGACCAGGCCTTTCCACTGGACGTGTAAGCATCATGTAACATCCGTGAAACGTGGTACGCAGCAATCAGCAACCGGTAAAGTGTTTGTGTGTTTCCACCGGCTGTGGTGTGGAGGTTAGTGTTGCTTCTTTTTATATGCTTCCAGAACACTTCAAGCTCAGCAGTTCAGATTGGACCAGACAGAAAGTGAAACATGAAAGCAGAGTAAAACAAACAGACAACATTAAAATAAAAGTCATGTGCTGATTTCCGGTTGTTTAAGTACCGTATTTTCCGACTATAAGTCTCACTTTTTTTCATAGTCTGGCTGGTCCTGCAACTCAAGGTTGGTTTATGCTTGACGCGTCCGCGAGGTCCGCACGGCTCCGCGCGGCGAAATTGCGTCGTTTTACCAACCACGCCCCTCCACCGCGCCTCAGCACGGCCCAAACTTTCCTCACCGCGCACCTCGGAAAATTTCTAACCACGCGGACGGTCGGACGCGGAAAAACATTGCGGACCGGCAAGAACTAGTATGGCAGAGGTTCGTAAATACAGACATTTGTATGATTCAGCTCTCAGAGATCACCGTGATCAACATGTTGTTAATAATTCTTGGAAAGAAATAACTCGCACTGTCGGAAAAGACGAGGACGCTGTTAAAAATGCTGGAATGCCATGTTGTAAACAGTAATTTCTACTTCTACTATGGTGTAGTGTTGGATGCATGCCATAGAGCTCCATGCTGCCTCCTACAGTTTGGGAGAATATTAGCTCACCGCAGAGACAAGCCGCACGAACCATAAACGCTGCGAGTTGTGAAGCGTGTTCCATCCGCGAGCCGCATCACCAAGCGGAAAGTGAATGCGTCAAGCATAAACCAAGCTTTATACTCTGGAGCGACTTATATACCAAATTATGTAGGCTATACCGTGCTGCTGCGGGCCGGCTCCAGACCAGGAATGAGCTCCCCTGCCCCGCTGTGAATACAAAACACACAGCCATCACCTGCCGGAGCCTGTTGCGCGTCGTTGCGCGCTGGATCCGGCCCAGATTTCAGCTCTTCTGCCCCGCCATCACCTGCTGCAGCCTGTGGCGCGCTGCTGCGGGCCGGCTCCGACCCAGGAATGAGCTCTTTTGTCCCACTGGGAGGGTTTGAAACACCGCCATCCTCTGCTGGAGACTGTGGCGCGCTGCTGCGCCCTGGTCGTTTATTCTGTTATTGTTACTGGTACTTGTCTTGCAATGTGAAGCGCTTGGTCTCAGATTTTGTAAGAAAAATAATAAAGTTTCCCCCCAAAATGCGACTTATATATGCTTTTTTCTTCTTCATTATACATTTTATGGCTGGTGCGACTCAGGCCCTGTCCACACGTAGCCGGGGATCTGCCAAAACGTAGATATTTTTCTACGTTTTGGCCTGTCATCCACACGAAAACAGAGTTTTTTCACACGAAAACGGATCTTTTTAAAAACTCCGGCCAAAGTGAGGATCTGCGTTTTCTCCGTTTTGGGTGTCTGCATGTGGACAGACAAAACCGGAGTTTTAAGGTCCGCAACGTCACTTTCCGCGACAAAAAAATGCTGACATCACGTGTGCGACCTGTGTTTACACTAGCCGACAGCATGGATGCCCTCGGAGCTGCGCTCGCTTTATCAATTGTCCAAGCGCCTTTTGCTTGTTTGTTTTTGCAAGCGGAATTACTGCTCCTTGCGGAAGACCACAGACGAAGGACAAGGTTAAGAACGGGGGAAGTACTGCCGCCTACAGGTCTGGCATGTCCTTAACAACGTATTTATCCGGGTACGTGTGGACAGTTTTTTTTTTTAAAACGAGGTGGTGAGGATGCAAGTTTTTGGAGGGGCGGATATTCGTTAAAAAAAAACCCGGCTACATGTGGACTAGGCCTTATTCTCCGGAAAATACGGTAGTAAAAATGTACATCTATTCCTGTGAAAACTCCGTAGCTGAAAATTAACCACAGACCTTTTTGGTAACATGCTGCCATCTTTCTCCTGGCTTGTTATTGCATGAACTTTTAAATTTTAAGGTTCTTTTAATGGTTCTAAATGTCTTAATGGTCTTGGGCCTTCTTATCTCTCAGAACTGCTTCATAAATACGAGCCTTCGCGGTCCCTGCGCTCCTTTGGCAGCCATCTCCTCATCATTCCAAAAGTCAGGACACACTCCCAAGGCGAGGCATCCTTCCAGTTTTATGGCCCTCGCCTCTGGAACAGTCTGCCAGAGGACCTCAGGGCTGTAGAGAGTGTTCTTGTTTTTAAGGCCAGGCTCAAGACTCACCTTTTTAGTATAGCTTTTAAGTGATTTAGATCTATTTTAGCCTGTTTTACCATCTTTTATGTATTTTATCAGTGCTTTATTACTTACTCATTTACTTAAATGACACATATTTTCTTATATATTAATTTTAACTTGTAATAATTATTAGTTTTAACCAGTATTAATAATCTGTTGTACAATATTTTTATATGTTTAATTATAAGTTTCTACTTGGATATCTTTTATCACTGTGTTTTATTTAGATTTTTATTTATCAGCTGTTTATGTTTAATATGTTTCTTAACTTATCTTAGTCTCATTAGTAAACTAGTGTTTCCTCTGTGGGGGCCGGCTGCCCCGGGGGCAGCGGTGGACTGTGGTGAACGGGGTGCTTCCCGTGTCTACTCTTACCGAGGCTATTGCTGCCAATCTTGGTGCTCCCGGTGCAGTTGGCTCCTTTGATGGCATTTTCGTCTTATTTGTACCTACTACATCTCCATTCAGCCAGGAGGCCTTTCTCTTTTAACTATGTGTGTGTGTGTGTGTGTGTGTGTGTGCGCGTGTGTGTGTGTGTGTGTGCGCGTGTGTGTGTGTGTGTGTGTGCGCGTGTGTGTGTGTGTGTGTGTGTGTGCGCGTGTGTGTGTGTGTGTGTGTGTGTGTGTGTGTGTGTGTGTGTGTGTGTGTGTGTGTGTGTGTGTGTGTGTGTGTGTGTGTGTGTGTGTGTGTGTGTGTGTGTGTGTGTGTGTGTGAGAGAGAGAGAGAGTTTGCATCTGCTTGGGACGGGATTGAGGGTGGGAGAAGAGAGATACAAAAGGGATCTTGTTTGCGAATCTGTGTGGGAGGGGTGGGAAACCAACTGCTTCCTGTTTGTTTTTAATATTGTAAAGCGATTTCAGCTGCATTTGTACGAAAAGCGCTTCATAAGTACATTTAGATTTTTTGATTGATTGAAATGTTGAAATCACGCGTGATCCTGCAATTCTCTGGACATTTCATGACCTAGCGGGACCAGCTGTGCGCAGCGCTTTCGCTGCTGTTTGGTGTCTAAATCGCGCTGCTTACACATCTAATGGAAATGTGGGTTGAGACCTCCGAGCTGTGTGTGTGTTACCTGCAGCGGGGTTGGATGGTGGTCCACTGGAGCGATGAGGACCACCAACTGGTTGTTGATGCTCAGGTAACCGAAGACATCACACTGTGGCACGGAGACATAAAGCCTCAGAATCTGAAGGACGTCTCGGACTGTCACAAACTGGTTCTTATTCAGCTGCAGAGGAAACAGAAAACATCAGCGTAAGTGCCGCAGGTCAAACCCACATAGCTTTTCTGTTTGATTAAATCTGAGGTTGATGTTTTATTTATAATAATTTATCTTCTGAAGGTTAGAAAAAATCAGTTAATGTTTACAGTGACCCAAAGGGCCAAGATTAAAAGTAAATAGAACATTTTAAACTTTATCTTATTTAATGGAAAGTGTTTCTAAAATATCTAATCAACTTGAACAATAGTTTAACTCCTCTGAACCGCTATCTCTACTTGTTAGCTTTCATTCATCTCAGAATTATAAACATTCTCTGAATCATTGGAACATTTCAAAGCAACTGAAGGAGTTCGCAAGAAAAACCTCAGTGCTCCTTGCAGGTCGAGTCGTTCTAAAGCAGCAACAGCCTCCTCTGTTCTGAATGCTGCTGCTGCTGCTAAACACGAGTATAACTCGTCTCATGTTTGAATGCTGGTACGGCATTCTCTACTTCTTCCATACACTTTTTGGAACAGTTTCAACTACTTCAAACTTTCATCTGTTATTGCAAATTTGGTATCAAAACGAGTTAATTCGCAGTTCATTCCAGGCATTACTTGTGTTATTTATAGCTTACATTGTTTTTTTGTGGGTTTTTGGCCCGTTGAAAGGAATGCAAAAGTCCACAGATCATTCAGCTTTTGGGATTTTAACTACTTCTGCATCCTTAGAGCATTCAAGTTTTAAAACGCTCACACGACTTTCAGCTACTACCACATGATTCAGCTTCTTGACATCTTTCTAAAGTCAGTTTTATGTATGATTAGGGACTGTTCAGAAATTTATAATGACAAATGGTAGATAAGTGGTAAATGGCCTGTATTTGATATAGTGCCTTATAGAACCCCCCAAGGCACTTTACAACACAACCAGTCATTCACACATTCACACCCTGATGGGGATGAGCTACGATGTAGCCACAGCTGCCATGGGGCGCACAGACAGAGGCGAGGCACCACCGGTCCCTCTGACCACCACCAGTAGGCAAGGTGGGTTAAGTGTCTTGCCCAAGGACACAATGACAGCGACAGACTGAGCGGGGCTCGAACCTGCGACCTTCTGATTGTGGGGTGAGCAACCTGTGCCACCATTGCCCCAGCAAAGTGGGAGAGCTGACCCTTCCATGCTCCATTTTAGACAAATGTCCTGGGAGAACTGTAGGTGCTATCAAAATGAGAAGAACAGATAAGTCTGCGTTTAGCCATAATTTATGAATGAACTCAAAAACTGTGGTGGTTGCGTTTAAAACTACTAATTTTTCACTAACCTTTAGCTTCACATCTTCTGTAAATGATTTTTACCACACCCACACTGAAAGAAACGATACCTTGAAATGTAGGCCTTTTTGTCAGCGTTTAGGGCTAGAATTTGTTGGCTGTAGGAATTACGGTTCTTCGGCTACATGCCTCACGGTGAGATGAGTGCCATGTCTGCTGTCATTGAGCTCATGATAAAAAAGGCCAGTCAAACACCTCTCTGCAATGCCTGCGAGTGATATCGGACACAACGGCTCCTTTAAGAGCCAGCAAACAGCCTCAGACGCAAAATAGACACTCCAGCTCCCTGAAGATAACCCAGACTAGAAGGGTCGTATTCTCAGCTGGCTACGAGCTCCAGTACCAGAGGTCCACGCCATCTGCAGTGTCCATCTCGACCTCCTGACCCCCTGGATCGCTTGGGAAACTTCACACAAGGGTGCGTAGACTGGCACAAATGGTGACGGATGGTTTTATAAACAAATCTCTAGCTTATCAAACCATACAGCCAAATAGATTTTACCACCCAGACTTCACAAGCCATCTCTGATACTTATAAGGATTTACTAAAACATCTACAGTCAGGTCCATAAATGTTGGGACATCGACCACAATGCTAACATTTTTGGCTCTATACACCACCACAATGGATATCAAATGAAACGAACAAGATGCGTTTATGTGCCTCCCACTTGTTAAGGGACCAAAAGTAAAGGGACAGAATAAGAACCATAAATCAAGCTTATACATTTCAATACTTGGTTGCAAATCCTTTGCAGTCAATTACAGCCTGAAGTCTGGAACACATAGACAAATCAAAAATCAAATCATATCACTTTTATTGTCACGTCACACGTGCAGGTACACTGGTACAGTACATGTGAGTGAAATTCTTGTGTGCGAGCTTCACAGCAACAGAGTTGTGCAAAAATACAGTAACGTAAAAACGAGCAAAATATAAAAATGGCTAATCTAAGTAATAATATCTATAGTATGTAAGGTATGTACATTACTAAATGTGTGTGCTAAGTATTTTATTTTTTATTTTTCTACGTGTGTGCGTGTGAGTGTGTGTAATGCGTATATACATATTTAACAAATGAATAAAGTAAACAATAAAATAAGAGATATAAAATATACAGAGGTTGGTATGTGCAAAACAGTGGCATTAATGTACAGTATGGAGTGTGTGATGTTGGAGTTTCAGTAGTGAGGGTGAGGTGTCTGTGAAGTGTTCAGCAGTCTGATGGCCTGATGGAAAAAGCTGTCTCTCAGTCTGCTGGTTCTGGACCGGATGCTGCAGAACCTCCTTCCTGATGGAAGTAGTCTGAACAGTTTATGGCTGGGGTGACTTGAGTCCTTGATGATCCTCCCCGCTTTCCTCAGGCACCGCTTCCTGTAGATGTCTTGGAGGGAGGGAAGCTCACCTCCAATAATCCTTTCAGCACATCGCACTACTCTCTGGAGAGCTTTGCGGTTGTAAGCGGTGCTGTTGCCATACCAGGTGGAGATGCATCCAGTGAGGATGCTCTCAATGGCACAGCGATAGAAGGTCCTGAGGATGCGGCGGCTCATGCCAAATCTTTTCAGTCTCCTGAGAAAGAAGAGGCGCTGCTGTGCCTTCTTCACTGTATTGTTCGTGTGCACTGACCACGTAAGATCCTCTGCCAGATGAACTCCAAGGAAACGGAAACTGCTCACCCTCTCCACAGCGTCGCCGTTGATGGTGATGGGGGGGTGTATTCCTCTGCTCCTCCGGAAGTCCATTATCAGCTCCTTTGTCTTTGTGACGTTGAGGGTGAGACGGTTGTCCTGACACCAGTGGGTCAGGGCGCTGATCTCCTCCCTGTAGGCCGTCTCATCATCGTTGGTGATGAGACCCACCACTGTGGTGTCGTCCGCATACTTCACAATGATGTTGGAGTTTCTCGTGGCCGTGCAGTCGTAGGTGTAGAGTGAGTACGTTGGGTTTCTTCCCTGGTGATGCTCTGCCAGGCCTCTACTGCAACAGTCTTCAGTTCCTGCTTGTTCCTGGGGAATTTTACCTTCAGTCTTGTCTTCAGCAGGTGAAATGCATGCTCAATCGGATTCAGGTCAGGTGATTGACTTGACCATTGCAAAACAGTTCACTTCTTTCCCTTCAAAAACTCTCTGGTTGCTTTTGCAGTATGCTTTGGGTCATTGTCCATCTGCACTGTGAAGCGCCGTCCAATGAGTTCTGAGGCATTTGGCTGAATATGAGCAGATTATATTGCCTAAAACACTTCAGAATTCATCGTGCTGCTTTTGTCAGCAGTCACATCAATAAATACAAGAGAACCAGTTCCACTGGCAGCCATACATGCCCACGCCATGACACTTCCAGCACCACTGATGAGGTGGTATGCTTAGGATCATGACAGTTCCTTTCCGTCTCCATACTCTTCTCTTCCCATCACTCTGATACAAGTTGATCTTGCTCTCATCTGTCCATAGGATGTTGTTCCAGAACTGTGAAGGCTTTTTTTTAGATGTTTGGCAAACTCTAATCTGGTATTCCTGTTTTTGGGACTCACCAATGGTTTACATCTTGTGGTGAACCCTCTGTATTCACACTGGTGGAGTCTTCTCTTGATTATTGACTTTGACACAGATACTCCTACCTCCTGGAGAGTGTTCTAGATCTGGCCAACTGTTGTGAAGGGTGTTTTCTTCACCAGGGAAAGGATTCTTCGGTCATCCACCACAGTTGTTTTCCGTGGTCTTCCGGGTCTTTTGGTGTTGCTGAGCTCACCGGTACGTTCCTTTTTCGGGAGCAGCAGTAGTACAACAGGTTGAGCGGGTTGTCCAGTAATCGGAAGGTTGCAGGTTCGACCCCGGCTCCGGACAGAGAATTCTGCTGTTGTGTCCTTGGGCAAGACACTTAACCCACCTTGCCTGCTGGTGGTGGTCGGAGGGACCGGTGGTGCCTGTTCTCGGCAGCCTCGCCTCTGTCAGTGCGCTCCAGGGCAGCTGTGGCTACATCGTAGCTCATCACCATCAGTGTGTGAATGTGTGTGTGAATGGATGAATGATACACTGTAGTGTAAAGCGCTTTGGAGTCCTTACTCTGAGAGGCGCTATACAAGTGCGGGTCATTTATCATTTATTTCTTTTTGAGAATGTTCCAAACTGTTGTTTTGGCCACGCCTAATGAAACCTGATAGGTTCCTTTTGTTTTTTCAGCCTAATGATGGCTTGCTTCACTGATAGTGACAGCTCTTTGGATCTCATCTTGACAGTTGATAGCAACAGGTTCCAAAATGCAAGTAGTACACTTAAAATGAACTCTGGACCTTTTATCTGCTCATTGTAACTGGGATAATGAGGGAATAACACACACCTGGCCATGGAACAGCTGAGAAGCCAATTGTCCAATTACTTTTGGTCCCTTAACAAGTGGGAGGCACTTATGCAAACTGTTGTAATTCCTACACCGTTCACCTGATCTGGATGTAAAAACCCTCGAATAAAAGCTGACAGTCTGCAGTTAAAGCATATTTTGTTTGTTTCATTTGATATCCATTGTGGTGTATAGAGCCAAAAATGTTAGCATTGTGTCAATGTACCAATATTTATAGACCTGAATGTAGGTCGCATTCCATCATTTCATTCACACTTTCTCATGTACAATCATTTCGTTTAGGAAAATAGAATTAAAATCATTTTTATAAACTATATTCTTGACTCTGTCTGGATTAATGTGAAGTGTGTGTTCCCTGAATAAGTCAAAGAAACTAAAGTGTTCTGGTTAAAGATCCAAAGACCAATCAGACTGATATTTCATATTTATATGGAACGTCACATCTAATTGATCCTTTAATAAATAAGTGACCAATCCTGACCGCTACATCACCTCGTCATATCCCCTACAAATACTAAGCTAGGCACAAACATTTACACCGTAGACCACTCAAGCCTTTAGCCGCTCATGGTTTTAAATGTTTGTACACCAGTTTTTGAATACAGCGTTTCTGTTTGGACCTTACAGTTTCGGGTTTTGGCTGCAGCTGTGACAGACCTGCAGCATATCAGTGATGTACTAATGAGGCGTTCTGGTTGGTTAGAACTTCCACGCCTGTTCCTGTCTGTCATCCCAACTCAGGGAGTGCTCTCAACAGTACAGTCCTACTGAGACCTGTGGTGTATTTATCAGTATGTCTGTCTCTCCCTCCTTCTATGCACCCCGAATCCACCATCCAACATTACATCCACCCATCTCTCACGCTCTCTCACGCACTCAGTTCAAGGATTTTTAGTTGTTTGTGACAAAACAAAGTCAACATTCTGAACATTTTTGGCTTTTAACGTAGATTTTACTATGCCCTGCCTTCTTTTTTTGGTCATATTTAGAGAAATGCTTTAATGGTTTTGGGAATGTTTTGGCTTTTTAACTGCAAAAACCTTTAGCCAGTTTTTCAGGACATTTGAACGTTACAGTCAGAGGTTTTAGCTTATTGCTTTTCAGAAATGTTTGTTTTTTTAAGCTTCACATTTCAGCTTCAAATTATAAATCTTCATGAACTTTCTTCAATTTTTACATTTGAGCTAATCAAGTCAAATTGACTATTACACCCATTCTTCTAAAATATTTGCTATTTAACTCATTAACTGCCATTGATGACTAAAGTAATCAGTTGTATTTTTTAATGGGGCGAACCTGGGAACAAGCCCCCGCACCATCAGAGTAAAAGTCACGGCTCTAAACCTTCACTCGTGTGTCAAACGTCACATGATCAGGAAACAGAAAATCCATGAATTAGGAGATCGTTTTGGGACGCTGCTGAGGCGCTAACCGGAAAAGCTTCTGCAGCTCACACTTCAACAACGGATCTTAAAAGAACAGTTAGCACCAAAACACACCGACTCTTCCTGATGTAAGAAGTGAGTCTGCTCCTTTTTTGGGTAGTTTTGGTGTTTAAATGATCATAGAGCACAATGTTCGGTGACTCTTCAAAAACAGTAAAATCGCTCAAAAACGCAGACAGTCAGGGGCGCTCTGATCAGAAAACGGCTGGCAGTGAATGAGGTAACAAGTGCAATATTGTCCAGGACTCAAACTTAGTTCAGATGTTTATGCTTTCTGCTAATTAGGACATTTTTTTTACCAATTTTCCATGACATCCTGTTAACTTTGACAGCTGAACTACATTTTAGCTTCACTTGAGTTCTTAGGCCTCTTCAGCTATTCAGCTTTCAAACAGCATTTCTGCAACAAATGCAATTCATTTAGTTATATTTTGTTGTTTTGTAGAACCACCATACGCAAACATCAGAACATTATTAGTCTGATTTTCAATAAAGTTATTTTTATTAATGAGGAATATAAGAATATAACATTTCAGGTGTGTGTTTGATACCACGCTGTTAGTCTGTATGGGAGTAGAAATGGTGAACATGTAGGTGTGCTGCCCCCTGGTGGATCAGCATTAGAATGACTGCAGAAACAGCTCAAATTCATAAGAGAATATCATAATTAAATTGTTAGCTTTACTTATAAGAGGAAACAGACATTGGTGACATTTAAACCGTCGTTCTAGCTTGTGTCCTCTATAGGGTGTAAATCAGGGTGGTCCTCTAAAGCCTCCATCCAGGTGAGTCGCCGCTCCAACACACCTGATTTTAACCAGCAGGGGATCATCAGACTAGTGCAGAGCACGATGAGACGCTGAACAGGTGAAGTGTTGGAGCAGTGAAACAACTAAAACATGTAGGATAAGGACACAACACTGATACGTAGCAGCTAATGAACATCTGCAGCGTGTGATTCAGTAACAACAGCTGAACTCTGAACTTCATACCTTTGAAAAGGTGTTCATTTGCTTCTGGTTCCAGATGATCTGTAGCATGCTGGCGCATATGGGACAGCAGGCTCCTGGAAACCAGGTCAGAGGTCAGGGCTCGGTCTGTACTATGGGTCTGTGCCACCTTTCTAACAGCTCACCTGGTGGGGTGATGGGGTGGCAGCCTGGGGTGGACACAGCTGGACAGGACACCAAGCTGCAGGCTGAGTCAGGGGCCATGCCAGACACGTGCCCCACAGCGTTGCACGGGCCCTTGTAATCCACCGCCACGCGGTCAGAGAAGGCGTGGCACACTGTGTCGTAGGTCTCACCATTATGACCACAAACTTGCTGAGGTTTCCTGCAGGCTTCCTGAAACAAACACAACGTTATACTGATTTAGAGACATTTATTAGAAAGATTGGAAGATAAAATGTGACTAAAAAATAACATCAAACAGACCTGAATGAGGTCCTACTGTAGGAAAACACAAACTAACCCTAACCCTAGTCCTAGCTCCTGGTTTGGTGCAGCAGCTGGAGCTTGTAGAGGTGAAGCCCAGTTCTGCCCCAGTTCTCCTGGTACCTACCTGACACTGACCCCGGTAGGCCAGCGTCTTGCCCGCCTGCTGCAGGTGGCAAACACTGGAGTGGACCTGGCCGTCGGTGTCACAGACGGGCTCAAAGACGTTCTTGTCACAGGCGCCAGGACGGCCAACGCACTCATACTGCTGACAGTCTGACAAGCTGCTCAGACACACACGACGCTTCAGGACGCACCTGGAAACACACACACACACAATCACACACACACAATCACACACACACACAGGATGGGGTCACATGTCCGTAGAGGCTGAGGGTAACACCTCCTCCTTTAACATCTGTTTGAATCTAAAATCGTGTGTTTGGTGATGATGGAGGTCATCCAGCAGATCTGACCGATAGGTGTTCCACTCACTTTACTCTCCTGAGAGATCTAGGTAGAAGCTCTTGACATCAAAGCTAGAATAAACACTTTGACCCATCTGTGATATGCTGAAGTCATTAGGAGCTGACTCTGATCCTGGGCTTGCGCTGCAGTGAGGGGACACACCCACATGTAGAGGCAGGATGCTGCCACTGGGGGCAGCATCTAGTCTTTGTTACCATCAACCAGGAGAGGTCGTCTCCTGGAGCTCTGAGGAGACTTTGGAGCTCTTAAAGGTTTCAGCAAAAAAATCTCTAGAAGACTCATTATAAGAATAGTGTTGCTTAAAAAAAGTCTTTAATGCAAGTGGTTGTGTGTATGAATGAATGAATGAATGAACGAACGAAGATCAGGTTGTTTGGTGCTAACAAGGATTTTAAAAGGTTTGTTCTCTGAGGTGCATGTTTTTTTTTTCAATTCAATTCAAAGATACTTTATTAGTCCCAGAGGGAAATTAATTCACCTCCTGTTATTGATCTGACTGGCTCACACCTGCAGCCTGTCACTCACCCACCTCACTTAAGGTGAGTCTTAAGCCTGCTCTTGAAAACGTGAACATTCTCTACGACCCTGAGGTCCTCTGGCAGCCTGTTCCAGAGCCGAGGGCCATTAAATTGGAAGGACGCCTCGCCACAGGTACAGTATGTGTCCTGACTTTTGGGATCACAAGGAGACGGCTGCCAGAGGAGCACAGAGGTCGCAAGGGTTTGTAAGGTAAAAGCAGTTCCGAAAGATAAGAAGGCCCAAACCATTAAGACACTTAAAAACCATAAAGAGGACCTTAAAATCGATCCTGAAACATACGGCGAGCCAATGCAGCAATTCTAAAACTGGTGTCATGTACTATTACGTGTCTTCATCAGGACACGTGCTGCAGAGTTTTGTAAAAGTTGTAAGCCCGAGATGCTTTTTTGGGAAGACCAGAAAGCAGGGCATTACAGTAGTCTATTCTACTGGTGATAAAAGCACGCATCAGCATGTCCGTATTGGCCCGAGGGAGAATAGGGCGGACTCTGGCGACGTTCTTTAGATGATAAAAACCTATTTTAGTGATGTTTTTTATGTGTGGGATAAAAGTCAGCTCAGAGTCGAAAGTCACACCCAGGTTCTTCACTTGTTCAGAAGGATTCAAAGACATTGATTGTATTTTTGGTAAAAGTTTCTCTCTCTGGGCCTCAGGACCAATACTGAAACTTCAGTTTTGTCCTGGTTGAGCTGGAGAAAGTTTTCTGCCATCCAGGATTTGATGTATAAAATGCAGTTAAAAAGTGCATCTATTGGCCGTGTGTCATCAGGAGACACGGAGATGTACAACTGTGTGTCATCAGCGTAGCTGTGGAAATTCACCCCATGTCTCCTGATGACCCCGTCAAGAGGGAGCATATAAAAGTTAAAAAGCACTGGGCCCAAAATTGAACCCTGGGGCACACCACATGTAATCCTATGAACCCTAGAAGAGCAGGTATCCAAACTCACCACAAAAGTCCTGTCTGTGAGGTGGGATGTGAACCATCTGTGAACAGCACCAGAGAGGCCGATCTGTTTTAAACGAGTTAGAAGAATAGCGCGGTCTACTGTGTCAAAGGCAGCGCTAAGATCCAGTAGAACCTTTTCGTGCATCATAACTTACTCTAAACCATCATTTAAAGTCTTCAGGAGGGCCGTCTCCGTGCTGTGGTTCACCCTAAAACCAGACTGAAATTTCTCTAGGGCATTATGAGTATTGATAAAACCACTAAGTTGAAATAAAACAAGTTTTTCTAGAATTTTGCTTAAAAATGGTAAGTTGGATACCGGTCTGAAGTTTTTTTTAAATCATTAAAATCTAACTAGCTCTTCTTCAACAGGGGTCTCACCACCTGTTGAAGAAGGTTAAAATCTCACCTCTAAAGGAATCATAGAATTGTGCAAAAACTAGTGGGAACAGGGTCTGGGACACATGTATCAAGACTCTCAGCGCAGACGAGAACAAAACTGTCCAGTGTTTCCTCAGGTAGACACACACTATTCAATTCATCACAAACCATACTGCTTTTGGAGTATAAAATATCACATCTGATGGTGTCTACCTTCCCTCTGAAGTGGGCTGCATCCTCCACACAGAGAGCATCTGAGGGGTTTTCTGAAGAAAGTTAGAGTTGTGATTAAAAATATTACCAATTGTATCAAAGAGAATTTTATGATTACCGTATTTTCCAGACAATAAGTCACCTTTTTTCCATAGTCTGGCTGGTCCTGCGACTTTATACCAAAGTGACTTATATACCAAATTATGTATACCGAGCTGCTGCGGGCCGGCTCCGGCCCAGGAATGAGCTCTCCTGTCCCGCTAGGAGGGTTTCAAACACCGCCATCACCTGCTGCAGCCTGTGGCGCGCTGCTGCGCCCTGGTTGTTTATTCTGTTATGGTTACCGATACTTGTCTTGCAATGTGAAATGCTTGGTCTCAGATTTTGTAAGAAAAATAATAAAATTTCCCCCCAAAATGCGAATTATACATTTTTCTTCTTCATTATACATTTTATGGCTGGTGCGACTTTTACTCCGGAGCGACTTATAGTCCAGAAAATACGGTACTCAAGTGTTCTGAGATGATTTAGGAAAAGTAATCGTTTCTGGAATTTCTAACTGCTTTACTATAGGGTTTTAGTAGTTTCGTGCAGGGCTGTGCAGAGACCTTTGAAGGGGCGGGTGCTCAAATTTAAAAAGGGGCACACAGAATAATATTTTCAAACACCATGACATAACCACAGTATACCTGGCTGAATAACAATTCATATTTATTAGAAATTCAAAATGGAAGCGAATCATTATATACACCATAAGGACAATGTAAAGCAAAAGTAACTTGTTTAGGTAAATGGTCTGTATTTGTATAATGCCTTCTTAGGGTTCTACAACCCCCCAAGGCACATTACAACACAATCAGTCATTCACACACATTAACACACTGATGGTGATGAGCTATGATGTAGCCATAGCTGCTCTGGAGCGCACTGACAGAGGTGAAGCTGCTGAGCACAGGCGCCACTAGTCCCTCCGACCACCACCAGCAGGCAAAGCAGGTCAAGTGTCTTGCCCAAGGACACAACAGCATCAATCTCTGATTGAAGTCAGGATCAAACCTGCAACGTTCCGATTACTGGACAACCTGCTCCACCTCCTGATCCATTGCTGTCCTATTTTACCTGATGATGGGGCACAATGTAGCTGTTGCAGGGTTGCTCCTCTTGCTGCTGCTGATGATGCTGGAGGGCAAGGCTGTGTTGATCTCAGACTGTAGGTAGTAAAACGAACAGAGGAGAAATGTTAGTCAATTACAAAATTAATGTAAGATAATAAAACAATGGCAAAAATTGGTGAAAACTCTTAGAACTGTAAGACAGAAATATCAGAGACAACACCTGTGGTGAATAAATGGAAATCTAAACATTAGTGGATAATAGAGGAGTTTATGTCAGAGATAAGAATGTGACAGAAATATAAACAGAAAGAGTTGTGTGTGTCTTCAGTCTCCTCGTGTGATCTATCACGCTCCACCTGCTGTCCATCTGAGAACAAGGCAACATTAGCTATTGTATGAATGAATTATGTAGTTATTCACATTTAACAGGTCTTGCACCTAATCCATGATCAAGAGGCTAACAAAAAACATTTTCTGGCATCAAAACATTGCAGTTGTGTATATTATTGTTTCTACACTTGTTGCTGTGATGCAACTTACCTGTACTCTTTTTTTTATCCAGCTGGTGAGGGACCCACTGCCTTTAGCTGCCTCACATAGCTCTTTCTGTCGCTGCTTCCACCTCCTGTCCTTACGAAGCATGTCTGTACAATGATATATCATAATTAATTTACAAATGTTTTTTCATGCATATAAAACTCATGCATACACATACTGGGACATTTCATTCCTTTTCCAGAAAACTAACTGTATATAATTTGGCCACAAATTAGCTTCATGATGCTGATCCAGAATATTTCCATAATATTTTAATCATAGTGCTTTAGTAATTATAATAAAAATAAAGAATAAAACAATGTTTATGCTTTCATTCAGTTTTACTATCTACTTTGTGCAAAACAGAGAACTGTACAGATAAAATAATTTTGCTGTGAAAACAGTAGTTTTTTTTTAAATGTACATCTTTAAAACATAATGTTTTTAATACAATGCATTCAAAAAGAGAGCAAATATAAACTCCAACATTGTGAGAATATGCATAGTATTAGTGAACTAAAAAACCCACCAGAAGGGCTGAGAAACCTTAAAATCTAAAACAAAACTATGTTCCCTAAAACGCTGGACCGAATTTACAGACAAGGACTGAATATTTTGTAACACAAAACTTGTGACGGATGTTACCTTTAGTATTTTTCTTATTTCCTTTCACAAAGGTAGCTAAATTTAAAATTTGTTCAAGTTTTATTAGTCCGCGAACCAGGAAGTGATTGTGTAAACAAGAAGCAGGGCTGTGTGAGACCCTAGTCACGTGACACGCAGCAGCAATAGGAATGCAACTTTGCGGTACCTAGTTAACAACAATGACATTTTATTGGCAAATTCCCAATATTTAAGATTGAAAAAATATTTTCGTACAAGTACTTATGTACAGAATGTTTTTGGTTAATCCTAAAGTTACTGAGGTTCAGAATCGGTACCCAGCCACAGACATACACCCAGCTAGTAATATATCACACACCTAGTGCCACAAAACAACTTAATAATGTACAAAATAATCTAATAACTGTGTATAGTAGTGTGCATCCTACTTACCGGTGTTAGTCCGTTTCTCCCAATCAATATGTATGTCCTAAAAGCTCTGCACCACTCGCTCGGCCATGAAGAAAATGTGGGTGCTTGCTTGCAGCTTGTTGTGACCGGCTGTGCGCTCTGGCGTGAGGAAGAGACGGAATGGTCACGTGACGGTATGGTCACGTGACTCATGCCAGCCATATAACATTATTAAACAGAAATTTTATTAATTATTATTTTTGTTATTCTTGAGGGGGCACCAACAGAAAATTCTTTAAAAAAAAATAAATAAATAAATATATATAAAAAAATCATTAAACCTCAAAAAGGGCACTTTGGGCACATGGGAGAAAAGGGGCAGGGTCTCAAGCACCCTCCGCCCCCCCCCTCTGCACGTGCCTGGTTTCGTGTATATCTGCTTATTAGTTGTGTTTTTATTTTTCCTCCATCTCCTCTCTGCCACCCTGCAATTTCTCTTCAGCTGTTTTAGGTTTTCATTTCTCCATGGTGTTGTAAGTTTTGACTGTAGTTTTTTGATTTTGAACAGAGGAAGCAAGTCAAGAGCAGCTTTATGTCTGCTGTTAAAATCATCGACATTAAAATCACACGAGGCAGATCAATTATTAGGAGGGATCTTTCTAAAAACTTCCAGAAAACCAGCAGCCACTTCAGGGGTTAGATGGCGTTTTATTAGTTCTGACAGAGGTCTCCCAGAATAAAAGTGGTGAGGTTAAAAAACACACAATGATGGTCAGACACAGCCAGGTCTAGAACAGAGGCCACAATGGTGGACAGGCCATACGTGATGACCAAGCCCACGGTGTGTCCTCTGTTGTGAGTTGGCTGCATGACATGTTGAGTAAAATCCATGAAATTTAAGATACTTAAAAAATCTAAGGCTAGAGGATCTAAAAGGTTATCTACGTGTAGATTCAAATCTCCCGCTGAAATAATCCCATCAAAGGAGTTGAGTAAAATAGATAAAAACTAAAAATTGTTGAATAAACAGTCGTCTGCATCGGAGGCCGATATACTGTGACACATACAACCTGAGGCATACTAAAAACAGCTGCAGTGTACTCGAAAGTGGTCAAACTTTCAAATAAAACAGATTTTGCAGGAAGTGTAGAAGAAGATTTAAAAGATTTCACCTCCGTTTTTCCATCCCTGGTTGAATAAATAAAATTTTAGTTTGGTGTGGAGGCCTCTGTGAGAACAGCAGCAGCATCTGAACTCAGCCATGTTTCCGTTCAAATGAAAGATTATTGTCTAAAATCGGTCATTTATAATAAAAGTTTTGTTCAGCAGAGAGCGAACATTTAAAAGAGCCATGTTTATAGCGGCTAGAGATGGAATAACTGTAGGACTTATTGAACGTGGGACTCTGGACAACTGTTTGAGATTATTAAGGTTGGGCCGGTTAGTGTTCTGTTTTTGTGATCGCTCTCTGCTGATGACAGGTATGTGAGTTACTGTGAAAACCAGGACTGGGTTCATAGGTGCCTGGACCGGGGGGGGGGGGGGGGGGGGGGGGGGGGGGGCATCAGGATGCGGGGGCAGGAGGCTGAGGCTGCTGAGATGAGCATACAGGAAGCTGTGCGCTTCATGTCAGAGTCTCCAAAGCGACACTGCTGACTTATGGCTCTTACACATCTGGGCCAGTACGGTTGGGGAGGACGGCATCAGTTTGGTCTCGTACGGGCAGTGTAGCGCTCACATGCAGCTCTGAGGAACGCAGAAATCCCCGAGCATGTGGGCGGTGTTTACGAGCGTGGGGAACTCTGTGGTGTCCTCCTCATTAAGGTAAACAAAGGCGGGAGTGAGCTGTTGCTGGATTAACTTTGTCCCTCTTCTCTCACTGCCATGTGTGTCCTCAAACTCCGCACACACACACACACACACACACACACACACACACACACACACACACACACACACACACACACACACACACACACACACACACACACACACACACACACACACACACACACACACACACACACACACACAAACGCTGCTCTCACCTCCCATTGAGACAGAGATGTTCGCTGCTCAGATAAAACCACCAGACCTTCTTCAACCCAAACCACCTCAAGCAACAAGTGTGTGTGTGGTGACGGTGACGGTGGGGGGGGGGGGGGGGGGGGGGGGTTGTGCATCTGTGGACGTACCTCTGGTTTCTGGGGCAGGTGTTGGTGGAGCAGGGGTTGCTGAGGTGGCACTGGCCGAAGACGTACTGGTGGTCTTTGAAGCCCATGCAGCGGGCCACACAGCCACTGGGGTAGGTGCGGCCGTTAGAGGCACAGACTGGGATGAAGTGGTCGGGACAGCTACAGGGGAGGCCTGAGGGAGACGGCGGGGGAAATGGGGAGCGTTAGAACAGACACCAGCCACGCGTGATTTTAGACCACTAAGAGTTGATCTGAACACCGTCTGTAGGAAGCTGCAGATACTGAAGTAGACCTAAATAAAACTCAGGTCCTATTTTAGAACTCATCAGTCAGCAGAACCAGAACCTGTTCCAGCAAATAAAACAACATGTTCAGGTTCTCCTCTCTAAAGCTGACGCCCCAACGCCAGGGCCACAGCTCACATGTCATGGCCTCCTCTCCACCAGGAGCTCTGCAGCAAGCACTGAGCTGGTGACCCTGGTGACCCCTGGACTAAAGTGTGATAAGCACAGATCCCTCCTGGTTGATCACTGATTAAAGGTAAGAGAGACAAACCAACCAGCGATGTGGCCATCACTGGAGAAGCTGGAGCCCAGACATGTTCTGGTGGAGCAGATGGTTTCCCCTGAGAAGCAGCTGCAGGTGTTACAGTCTGTCTGGAAAGAAGAGCCATGGTCTGAAGGTACCACAGCCAGAAGACACCAAAGGCAACACGTCACTGGTTCTGTTCCCATGAATCACCTCACACATCACAAACCAGGTCAACTAGAACAGGTGTGTACTAACTTCTTTCTCTGAAGTAAACATTTGAGGATTATTAAATAGCTGGGACAGAGGTCAATGAGGTCACACAACCTGATGACCTCATTGATGACCTGAGGGGTCGTGTTTCACAGTCAGATCACCCTGGGATAATCCAGACCATGTCTAAGATGCCAGAATCAAACCTATGTCTACATCGTGATGTTCTATGATGAACCAGGTGTGTCTTACTCTTCCTCTGCCCTCCTACGATGCACGCCTTGTCCGTGTCCACACAGGGCATCTCCACGCAGTTCTCCAGACGCCCACTGGGACCACAGACACAGACCTCGTAGCAGCCAGGAGAACCAGCGTGAGTTGGGACTTGGATGCGAGCGCCCTGCTGCACCAGGAACTCTGACGCTTCCCCCAGTTTACAACCTTAAACAGGCGGGTGGTGTGAGTCTAGGGTGGAGGCAGGAGAGAGCTGTGGATTCTGGGAGGGCCGTACCTGGCTCACAGACGTACGGCTCACAGCTGCTCAGGTCGGCACAGCCCTTCCTGTTGACCCGGCAGATGTTGTTGCTGGAGCAGGGGTTGGGGTTGCATGGGTGGATGACCTCCTCCACTATGCTGTCGCCAAGGGAACTGGGCACTGGAAGGAGAAACCAGAACCAGAATCAGAGCCTGTCTGAAGACCAATGAGCACAGATCCAGACTGGGTGAACTCGGCTTGTTTGCTTGGTTCTAGTTGGACGTTTTACAGGAGTTGGACAGAGGGACCATGCAGTGTCTGGAAGTTTCCTCCAGATAGTAACTTCCCACAGAACTACTCTGTAAGTGAGCTGGTGTCCTCAGACCGCTGGCTGAAAGCGCTGAACTGAAATAACAGGTTGTGAGTAATTTATGGTAGCTCCTCTGACTTCTAGACCCAGCAGCTGGTCCTTTAGAGCCTGAGTAGGTCTAGATCTGCTGGCAGAAAGAACACCCAGCACAACCTTCAACAGCACCACTCACTGAGGTATCGATGGAGGGGGATGCAGCGCTCAGGATCATCGATGGGAGACAGAAGCTCACAGATCCTCTCTGGAGTTTGTCCTTCGTGGAAACGTTTCCTGTCTCCACATTTGGTCAAGATGTCCACACAGTCGGACCTGGGAACAGGGAGGAGGCACAGGCAGTCCACCCTCAGCACCATTTCTTTTTTTTTTTTAGTTTATTTTCATTTATTCACAGTTAAAAATAAAACACAAAACAGGTTTGCAAAAACAAAAAAAAATGAAAAAGGAGCGGAAAGAAGCAAAACTTGTGTTATCTGTTCCCCTTAACCAAAATAAATACAACTGACAACAAAGTTATTATAGTCAAAAAAAATGTCATACCTGGTTTACGGTTAAATATGTCTATCTCATAGCATCATAGCATCATAAAAGCTAAGTATTCATTTTTATGTTTATTAAAGGTGTGGCGAGGGCCGCCTCAGGAACGCTCCCATGACCCCCTCGGTGGCCCTCTTAGGGTAAACAGGAAACCGCGATGGTCAAACAGAAGACATTCAATTCAATTCAAATTCAAAGATACTTTATTAATCCCAGAGGGAAATTTAAGTTTCAGTACACACAATTCTGAGATCAGACATACATACATAGGCATAGACACATGACAAGAATTGGTGACTGTGGTCATTCGCAACCCGAGTCGCGCTACCTTAATAGAGATCAGTGGGTTTACATGAGGAATGGTCAGGTGGAGGAAAAAAAAAGGCACTTCAGAGTTACCCTCCACCAGGAGGGCAGCTTTGCTATGCAAAAAACACCTCAGACAAAAATGCAACAGACTTTAGCCATTACACAACATAAGTGTCCACTAGGTGGGCAGGTGGGGTTGGGGACTTTCCACACATCAGTGCATGCAGCCGCGATGAGCAATGCTCGTCACCTCTGTTTGGACAGGGGACGAAATTGGGTTAGAGACCACAGTGACTCCTGGAAATGGTTCCACGACCTTCACCGGTCTCAGTCCCGCCCAGGCTGGGATAGGGAGACAGAGTTGCCATGGCGACGGCAGCATTCCACATTTCTTCTGAGGGGGGGGTAATCACTTCAGCCTGACAGGCTCAAGGGCACCAGATTCAGATAAGAACTTGTTTTGGGGCCAGACAGAGATAATTTCCTCTCTGTCTTAAAGTTCAGTTGGTCTCCAAACCCTCTAAATCCAATAATGGCATAAATTAATTTATTCCCAACCGTGCTGACCCGTCAACTTTCTTCTTGATCGAATCCACCTTCTGTGCCAAAGTCTGAATCTCAGCCAAAGTTCCAAGCTTACGACTCATCTCGACAATTATATGAGTTTGTGCGTTCATAGCGCAGTGTAATCCATCCCTGAGCTCCGGGATTGAGCCTATATTCCTCGACAGCTCATTAATTTTCCGGTAAGCCAGGTCACCACTCAGGCCAAACAGCAAGAAACCTGACACCAACACCACGGATACCCAGACGTCTTCAGAATCCTCTACAGACAGTTGAGAGAGGCAGATCAGGTTCCACTGTTTCCAGGAGTCCATGATACGCCCAGCTGGCTCTGTCCAAGAGGGGCAACCGGGAGCCCCTTCTCCCATTCTCATGATGTTCAGTGGGACCAGGTTCCGGATCTGAGCCTTCCTGCTAAAAGCACGCAGGAGACGCAGAGGCTTGGAGATGCATGAAATGTGCATCACCCCGCTAACACCTGAAAACCACTGCGACACCACTGGGCGACAACATCTGCCCTCAAATGTTTTCAACACGTTTTGCACCTTTGTAAGCGTGAACTTGACTTCGCCTTCATCTAGTCTCAGAATGTGGTTACACACCTATGCTGAAGACAAAAACAACTCCATGTCACATTGTCAAAGAGTCGGGATGTGGTTACAACTTTAAGAACACATAACAGCACAAGCTGTGGTTACGCCTACGAAGTAAAAGGTCAACGATGTCACTGTCCCCTCATGAGCCAATGAAAAAGTGACCAACAAAGAACGAACAGGGCTCTCAGATGCGATAGAACAGAGAGTCTTGCAGGACTTTAGAAAGCGCTCTGTGTGTGCGAACCATTTTATAATCAAATGTGTAATGAGCGCTGTGAACACGGGCCGCACCAAGACGGCGTAAAGGATCAGCGCTTTAGGCGCTGCATTTATTCGTATGCATATCCGTATGTACATAACCGAATGAACTACAATGAACCAACTGAGAACCACATTAGACCCAGTCTCCCATTAACTGGATGTCATGGTTTCTGTCAAGGCCCAGATGCTTCTGTCATGCTTACTCATGATGGTCCCAGACCACTGGGCCACACAGGAGAGGAGGCAGAGAAAGGACCTACTTGCATATGACACTTCCTCTGGATTTGCTGTGACACGGTTTGATCTGCAGAGAACAGGCCACAGCCTTCCACATGTCGGGGAGACACTTCCTGATGTCCAGAACCGGAATGTTCATGAACGGCATCCGAATCGTCCCGTTGGACCACAGCTTCATGTCGTTCATGGCTCCCTGATCAGACTGCACATTACAGCTGCGGAACAGCTCCGTAGGCCTGAACACACACACGCACGCACACACACACGCACACACACACACAGTGAGTAAGTGAGATGTGAGCATGCCATGCTGCACTGAAAACAACTTCCACCAACTTGTTGTGGTCATTAATAAATGAATCTGAATCTGAATAAAACAGCAATAACTAGGAGCAAAGGTCCATTTTAATCTCCAACCCGGTCTTGGAGCTCCACTATCCTCCCGCGTTTTAGTTGTTTCCCTGCTCAAACACACCTGCTCATCATAGCTGCTCATCCGTGGTCCAATCCTAATCCTGGCACTTCCACAGAGTGTCCCCATTCTCAAGTGCAGAAGTTGATCACTCCCCTTTTGCACCATGGATCCACACTTCACCCAGTCCACATCGATGCGGACTTGGGCGAAGGGTATTACCCACAATCCATTGCTGCAGGAGAATATGAAAATATGTATTTTCTAATGAAAAGAGTTCATTTATTGAGGTGATTAGTTGATGCTCTGAATGTTTTAGACGGAGCAGCAGTGAGTGTAAATGTATTTAAAATTATTGTTTGTGTGTTTGAAAGTTTTTCATGAAGGTTTTTAAAAAAAGCAGCACCATCATCCCAGAATGAGTTGCAGTCGATGCCCCAATTCGGTATTTGCACACTTGTGCACCACGCACTCGAAGGCTTATTGCGCACTTCCTCCAAGGGCGCAGTGCGAGTGTTGGGATTGGGCCTGCCTCTGCAGAGGCCTGTTAATAACCTGCTGACTAAAAACAGGTGTGTTGGAGCAGGGAAATAACTAAACCATGCTGGCTGGAGGGCCCGGGTTGGACACCGCTGCTCCTGATGCTTGATCAGTTTGGGCTCAGCCGAGGCAGCTGGGTTCCATCTGAACGTCTTTGGTCACCTGGAGGCGAGTCTGATCTCAGATCAGCGTGTTAAACAGCTGACTGGTATTAGAACCATACTGGTGTTCAGATGTATCACCACATAAAACAGGTATGAAGGCAGAGGAGCTCTGAAACAAACCCAGTCAAACCAGTTCTGGACCTCAGAACCACGAAGAAAACCACACGTGTGCCTAAATCTTCTATCAACATGAAAAAACTGGGACATCTGTGATGCTTCTTTCTGGTGTGAACCTAGAGGGCGTTCTGCTGAATGATGAATCCATTGACCTGACTTGTTCTGGGTTCGACCCAGAGAAGAGTGGAGACCCACCTGTTGTTGAAGTTGGTGCAGTAGGTGAGGTCCTTGCAGCCCAGCTGGCAGGGCTCTCGGACATCTGCCAGGCAGGCGATGAGCTCCGTCTCCACCGGGCTGTACTCACAGAGCTGGTCAAAGTCCTGCCATGTCTGGCTGCCCCAGTGGGTGCTGATCTCTTTACACATGTCCCTGTCACAGCACAGAAGCACCAGTCATCAAGTCAGCCTGACTCCAGCCCGAGACCTGCGCTGAACGTGCCGCTGCACCTGCACAGAGACGTGTTCGCCTTGGAGCAGCAGTGAAGCTTCGCATAGTCCATCTTGGCAGGATGGGGGGGTTCCTCCTCAGGAGGTGGAAGAGGGTGGGCGCTCCCCAGAAAACACTGCCACATTGGGTCCTGAGGGAGGGGCTGGGAACCACACTCGCTTATCAGACCCTCTATGATCTCGTGCTCTGTGTGCAAGGTGTGGAGGATTCTCCGGCAAGCGTCCTGGCAGTGGGTGGCCTCTGCCCGCTCGCAGCAGTACAAGCCTGCAGGACAAGGTCACCGGGTCAGATCAGAGCCTGCTCTGTGTGGTGGAGGCTCCTAACAAGTTCATAAGTAGAGAAAACATTTCACTGTGACATGCTGTAGTTGGAAATTGAAAAAGTAGCTTGAGATATTTTAAGAGCTGACTATCTGCTTCTAACTCACCATTAGCGTTGTTAGCTCAATGTTAGCCTCTAGCCTGCTTCAACAGCTTAAGAGTAAAATAAAAATCGTTTTCCTTTCTTTTGCTTCTGGGCCGCTCCTGTTACTGGCAGCCTTTATTCTGCCAGCACAGACTCGAAAACCCTCAATATGATTGGCTCCAGATCCAGGAAGTATGAAGAAGGACAGATTGTAAACAGAGGGTGTTTCTCAATGTCAAGGCACCTTGCCTTGCGAGGCGATGTCTTACAAGGCCAGGCGCCTAACACGGTCCTTCCTTGGCCATAGAAAACGGTTAAATGGAACAGACTTGCATCACGTGACCACGGCGGTCACGTCACGTGACGCGGAGATAACGTCATATTTTTTATGTATTAGTTTCAATATAAATATATAACGAGCCTTTTAGTTTTTGACTTGTGTATATGTTTATTAAATTTAATATATGAGCGAGTTACTACCCGCTAGCCACCAAAGCTGCAACTACTAAGCAACTCACCAACAATAGATGACTTCTTTAGATCTAAAAAAAATTTTTTTTAATTAGTTTACTTACTTTTAAACTTAAAATTTGCCCCCGAAGTAGCTGCCGACTTCTGATCTGCCGTCCTTCTGAAAATACTGCGGTGTATTCTGGGTAATTTCTGACCAAGGCTAGGCTACAAGACACCTCCCGTGTATCCTTGCTCAGCTAGCTAAACGGCTAACAAACGGAGAACACACGCCTCGGTAGAACATGAACATTGGAACACATCTTGGCGGCTCCCGATGACGTATCTCCTAGGCAACCGGGGCGGGGCCAAGACATCAAGGCGAGGTTCCTTGGTATTGAGAAACACCCAGAAACTTGTACCTCTTTAGCTTTTTTGAAAAAAATAATAATAAAAAAACTGGCCTCCACCCAGCTCGCTGAGGATGAAATCTGTTTCATGCAGCCTTCCTTCCAACAGGATTGAGACATTAGAATGTTTTGGGATCATTTTGCTGTCAAATTCATACGTATTGCATCTTTAAATAAAGAAACAAGCTCAATGGCGTCAAACGAAAAACAACAATGAACTCATGAAGCTCTCCAGAGCAGAATCACGGTGTGTGAGGGTCATCTCCAGCACATGGACCTACTGTCAATGGGACTGCGGGCGGGGTAGGACTCGGTGAAGTTGTTGACACACTCGACTAGCTTATGGCTGTGGATCTGGCAGTAGCCTTTAAAAGCCTTGATCTGGGACTCAGTGGGGGTCGAGTCCGTCCTGAAGATGGCCTCACAGTACTCTCTGCATGTGGTGTGACGGCCTGCAAAGCTGCAGCATGAAGAACCCACTGGAAGAAGATGGAGGATGTGGTAGACGGCGTTAGGATAAACACCAGCGATATACTGTGTGTGTGTGTGTGTGTGTGTGTGTGTGTGTGCGTGTGTGTGTGTGTCACTGACTACTTACTTTCATTTTTGGTGATGCAGCTGTAGAGGGAGTTCTAGAGAGAGAAGAGACAATTAACCCTAACCCCATATCAGACACAGCTAAAGGTCAGTCTTGTGTCAACAGTAAAGAGGGTGTGTGTGTGTGTGTGTGTGTGGGGGGGGGGGGGGGGTAGGCTCACAGATGAATGAATAAGGAAGGGTGCTTAAATCCTCCCAGTCTGGTGATGAACAATGTCTCCTCCGGTATGGTGGAGCACCAGACCGGAAACGGTGTTAGGCTCCAGGTCCAAGAAGCTCCCCAGACCTTAATCCCACTGATGTCCATCCTCCAGAGGCAGGAGGAAAAACACAAACCCACCAATTCTGACAAAGTCCAAACACTGATGAGGAGTGAGCTCCATCAGTCAGGATCATGTAGGTAACCTCACACCGAGGACCTCACCAGTGATTCATATAGTCTGCCTAAAAGGAGCTCATGTTGTGAGTCCGTTCATCCTGGAATCTCTCTCCAGGTCCATGCTTGCTAACAAAAGGTAGGAGCTTTGGTTTATTTCAATCAACCAGGTCCCGTCACACACAGGGTCGGCTGATCTTGTTTCCAGGTAGGGAGGAAGATTGCTCAGAGAGGTGCTGGTGGCTACTTCAGCAGAGCGAGTGAAGTCTCCATCAGACAAAGGTACAGTGGAGGAATGTGATGCATGCTGTTGTGTGGTTCCAGACTGTAGTGATTCTGGTGATGAATGCACACACCCAATGGTCAGCTAGCTTCATAAAGACGGGTTCAGATGAACCTTAGCAAACCCCCCCCCCCCCCCCCCCCCCCCCCACCCCCCCCACCCCACCACACACACACACACACACACACACACACACACACACACACCACACCCTCTTTACTGTTGGAACAAGCCTGAGAACTGGACAGCAGAGGGCAGCACATCATTCTGTCATCTCCACAGCTCCCCCCCCCAGCTCACCTCTGTCACCTTCTTGCAGATCTTGGTAATGTCATTTTTAGACGACGCCTGCAAGAGAAGCATCAACAAACATTTGTGAAGCTTTTGCTCACACCGGCGTGGAAGAGGTCGATGAGGTTGACGCCGCAGCGCTCACCTGTCTGCACTCCCTCCGACACTCAGGGGAGATGGCTAACTCACAGCAGCCCAGCCCGACCCAGCCATCGGACTTCCTGGAGACACCTGGACCAGATTTAGACAGAACTGAATAAGCCTGAACTAACGGAGGCTTTTATTAAAGCCATAAACACAAACTGTCTGTGACTGCAGATGAACACACTCTGACAGAAAAACAAAGTCCTGGCATTTCAAAGTTTACACTAACAGAGTAAATGAGTCAAAGCTGCAGGAACACATCAGAGGAGAACGTCCACATCAGGTCCGATCCAACGGATTCCTAAGAAACCAGACCTTAACAGGTAAACATCGATAAAAAGGCTTTCCAATCTGGAGCAGGTTAACCTTCTGACAGGCAGATCGTTTCCAAAGGCCAGCAGCAGGACGGAAACTTTGATCCAGAGCCTGTTTTCATCTCAGCTGTTCTGAGTTTACAGCTCTGACAGGCTGACGCAGACAGAGCCTGGATGTGTGTACACAGTCAGAGGGCTCCTTCTGGTTCCAGACTCAATCTAGCAAGTCTTCACTAAACATCTGATGTTAATTATCATTTCTTCTCTGGTGGGTACCACAGGTGGTCCTCACGCGGGCCTTACCTGGGAGTGTAGAGTTGATGCACGTCCAAAGTTCATTCTAGAGAACAGAGAACATCAGTTAGTTGTCATTAAGGAAGCTCTTAACACCTTCAGGTCACCTGCAGCTACGACAGGTAGTCTGTCGACGTGATGACACCTGTAGGGACTTGAAGGCTGTCCAAAAACTTTAACAAAGTCCAGCTGTGGGTCTTCATCTTCATCCTTCCAGCTAGGTTTCATTCTGACCAGAACACAATAATGTGTGACTACATTCCTACCAATTACAGACGTAAACTCCTAATTTTTTATGGCCGAGAGAAACAGAAGGTTATGTAGTGACATCCTAAGCCTCGCCAGGTCCAGGAGAAAGAGCAGTCGACGCTCCTGCAGCCTTCAGAAGGTCTGATCAAACATCTGATCAGGCACCTGGGAACAGGGACCTGCAGGGTCTGCCTGAGGCGGCCAGCTGGCAGGAGCATTTTGTCCTTCATAGGCTACCGTAGCAGCTCTTCCCTGCTTTTAGAGCAACAGTCTGTCCATGCGCTCTTCATCTGACCAATCAACCAACTAGAAGTTTAACTCGGACTCCATGTGTGTTTTAGTCTGAGTGGGTTAGGGTTACTTTTCTAAATAGTCATGATTACAGAGTAAAGCTTGTGTGTGTGTGTGTGTGTGTGTAGCTCAGTTTTGATGTGTGTTTGATGATTTGTGTGACAGCTGATAACTGATACAGCTGTGGTACACATGTTAGTGGGTGTGGACAGTGACCAGAACCCAGCGTCTTCAGCTGGAGCCATGCTGGGTTTGCAGCTTTCTTGGCTTACACTGGGGCCTTGATGTTGGTGTTAACCCTCTGATGCACATAGGATGGGCTTGACTGGGGGGGACTATCACTTCCCTAGATGCAAAGCCCCTGGAGAGAGGGTAAAGGACACACTAAATAAGCTCCATATTCCTAGAAATCCTCCTCAAAGGATTCTTCAAACCAAATGCCGAACACAGAAAAAGTAGAGAGAAGGATTTATAATTTGACGGAGAACGTTAAACACGGCTGAAAAACAGGAAAAAATGAGTCTGTTTCTACTCCCGCTGGGCTTGTGTGAGATGTTGTGGGAATAATCATCACAAACAACTCCGTCGGTCTCCTCTGCCAACGTGTAAGGACGAGCTCCAGGAGGCTGAGCTGTGAAACACCACCACTGGTTTGTGTTTCTGCAGGGCCGAGCCCCGTGTAGAGCTGCTATGGACCAGGGACAAACATCTCCATCAGCACCGTAACAGCATCTTTACCCAGAGCCTGAACCTCAGATTTTACTCTAACATCTGGACGTGAGACAGGACCGTCACTCCAACCCTAACCCTGAAGCTCACCCTCCTTGTGATGATCATTTCTGTGAGTTTAGAGAAAATCCCACCATGTTTTATTGTTTTGATGATAGAAGCAGCCCGTCTGGATAAGAGGTTTTACTCGTACAACGGCTACTGTTCAAGCATCTGGCCTTCAGGACTCCTTGTGTTTAGCGATGAGCTTTAGCTGCTCTGGATCCAGGTCCTGACCTCCCAGTCTATTGGACATCCATGACCCATGAAGACCAGGCCTATCCCTTAAAGGCTGCAGGGCCAGAGATGTGCTTACCCAACATGGTAACAGGTACACCAACCAGGCCCCCAAACCAGAGGAAGTGTTCCAACGCTAAAGCTCCTCTGTAGCTAGGGGACTATATTGGGTTAGGAACCTGTGGGCTGTCCTCCTTTACTAGAGCCGACGAGGACCACAACCAGGACCTCAGAATTACAGATATGTTAGTGAACTACTCTCCACAACCACCACCACAGCAAGGAGCTGCTGGTATCTGTTCTAGAGTGTTTAACGCTGTTGGACCGGACTCACCATGGACTCTGGACAGTAACCAGGCAGACTTTGCAGAAGATGCTTCAGACGTGACTCACTCTTGATGGTGGTGAGCTATGGGATGAAAACAAAACTTCAAATATTTTATACAATACAAGCAAACACATCAAATCCATCACAGGCGGACAACTTTCATCATCATCGACATCTTCATCCTCATTATCGTTGTAATCATCATTGTAAATTCAATTGAGTTTATTTATAAAGCGCCAAATCACAACAAGAGTCATCTGAGGGAGCTTCACACAGTAAACACTCCAATACAGGTCAGTTCATTAAGCCAATCAGTAAAAAGTTTCCTATATAAGGAACCCAGCAGGTTGCATCGAGTCACTGACTAGTGTCAGAGTCTTTACAGATATCCTCATACTAAGCAAGCATGCAGTGACAGTGGAGAGGAAAACTCCCTTTTAACAGAAAGACACCTCCAGAGGATCCTGGCTCAGTATAAGCAGCCATCCTCCACGACTCACTGGGGATGGAGAAAACAGAACACACACACACACACACACACACACACACACACACACACACACACACACACACACACACACACACACACACACACACACACACACACACACACACACACACACACACACACACACACACACACACACACACAAAGTAATGTGTCCATAGTTATATTGTGATGTCTTAGTAAATATTCTATTTGGTGAGAGATAAACTTTATTGTATTTATCCTATTGGATCTATAATTCAACGGGTAAACTAGTAGTAGCACATTCAATGTCAAGGAAAGTAAAATGTTATTATCAGGAGAGGGAGAATGATTAAATGGTTAGCAACAGTGTTCAAGACGATGGCCCCCTCCATGAGGCCACCACAGCTCAGCAGAACATCATTGTAGCTTCTTCTGGCGAGAAAAGTTAACAGCTGAAATAGCAGGAAATTATGCAATTAGAGAACTGGTAGAAGAAAGTAGCAGCGTGTGGAAAGTGGTCAGTATGGCCTCCAGCAGTCTAAGCCTATAGCAGCATAACTACAGAGATAACTCTGGATAACCTAGCCCAGGGGTCGGCAACCCGCGGCTCTGAAGCCGCATGCTGCCCTTCCACCCATCTGATGCGGCTCTCTGTGTTTGTAAATTAATGAATGAATATTTAATTAAATGTATTTTATTTTACTGCATTCATCTTTTATCTGTATGCCAGTTCTAAATGTAAAAATTGTCATCTGTCGAAATCTAGACCTGAAATGACAGATCACTGCTTGTGCATAATTAGATGTCTCTATAGGCGCTTTCTGAGCTGAAGAGGATATGAGATTCGGGACTTTTGCCTCAGACAGGCTCATGGATGCGTTGCCACATTGGAGACAGGAAAAAGCGCTATTCAGCCAACGTTTCATAATAAGGGAACATTTTCTAAGGGACAAGTCTCTCTGAGAGACAGGGTTTGGAAAACACTCTCTTCAGTGAGGAATCTTCCCACATGCGCTCTGGTTCTTCTGCTGCCTGTGACCAACGTGCTACAAGCCACTCTCCACATCTACAGCTCGCTGTCCGCATTATGTGCACGCTGACAGTCAGCTGTGTTGAGCACAGTGTCCAGTATAATGCTCAGATGTTTTGATGGGAATCTTTTCTTGATTGATTTAGCTACCTCTGTGATGTGTGTAACGATTAAAATGTCAGTCCATCTGCAGCCTTCAGGAAAGGATGCTTCTAATCTTAGCAATGTTCCAGAGATGGAAGAAGGAAATCCTACAAACCTGTTTAATGTGGGATTTGAATGACATGTCCTGGTCAAAGATCACACCAAGGTTCTTTACTTTTTTTCTCGGAGACTAATTTAATGCCTGTCACACTCTGTCCCATCTCCCCGTTCTCTTCAGTCATGTGTCCCCATTAATTGCTCCCACCTGCCTCTCGTCACCCAATCACCCAATCTCCCAGCTCCTCATATATTTAAACCCTCTCAGTTCTGTGTGTCTTGTCGTTTCTTTGTTTCTATGTCCTGCGTGCTCTGTGTAATTAAAGACTTTAGACATTCCAGTTTGCCTGCTTCTTCCCCTGCATGTGGATCCTCACCTCCGGCTCAACTCACCTGCACGTCGTGACAGAGTGAACCGACCAGACAAAGGATCCAGCGGGGAAGTTCTACCCTGGAGTACCTGCTCCGATGGCTCATCCCGAGCCACCAGCCGGCTTCTCCTCCTCCAACGCAGCCACGCCGCCGATGCCGCCATCGAGCCTCAGCAATCCTCTCCACCCTTCCGGAGCCAGATGGGAGGTTGGACTGGGAGACGCAGCTGGACCGTTCTTGCGTTGTGGGCACCAGGCTGGCTGTGTGGTCCCCCGGCATTGGCCCACGGTAGCGGGAAGGAACCCGGGCCCCACTAACACCACCAGCCCCAGAGCGGCACCGCAGGTTCACCGCCGCCTCGGCGTGCCAACTTGGACCCGCCTCCAGTCAGGTTGACGGTCCTGCCTACAGCGGACCCACCTCCAGTCGGGCCAGCGGCCCCGCCTCCGGTCCAGTCAGCACCTCTTTTGTCTGCAGGCGGAGGGGCCGAGTCTGCAGCCCATTGGACGGAGCTTGCCGGCCTCGAAGCGGAGCTAGGCTGGCTCCGTCAACTCATCAACCTCCAGGAGTTCCAGCTGGATACTCCAACCCCCCTGGTTCTCCAGGAGGGGGTTTCCATCCAGCCAGCGGTCCTGCCTCCAGTCCAGTCAGCAGCTACCTCATCTCCAGGCCAAGGGACCAAGCCGACAGCCAATCAAACAGAGCTCGCCGGTCTCCGAGCTGAACGTCAGATCCTCAGCCTCAAGGAGTTCCAGCTGGACACTCTATCCTCCCTTCTTTTTCAGTCATCGGCTCTGCCACCGGTCCAGTCATCGCCAGGTTCTGAACCTCCGGTCTAGTCATCGCCAGGTCCTACGCCTCCGGTCCAGTCATCGCAAGGTCTTGCTCCTCCGGTCCAGTCATCGCCAGGTCCTGTGCCTCTGGTTCAGTCATCGCCAGGTCCTGTGCCTCCGGTCCAGTCATCGCCAGGCCCTGCACCTCCGGTCCAGGCTGTCCAAGAGGCTCCGCCCCCAGCCCAGCCAGTCCAAGAGGCTCCGGCCTAGCCTGTCCAAGAGGCTCCGGCCCAACCAATCTAAGAGGCTCCGGCCCAACTAATCCAAGAGGCTCCACCCCTGGCCCAGCCAGTCCAGTCGTCAGCGCCTAGTCCGGCGTCTCCAGTCCAGTTTTCAGCTTCTAGTCCGGCACCTCCAGTCCAGTCGTCAGCGCCTAGTCCGGCGCCTCCAGTACAAACGTCAGCGCCAAGTCCGGCGCCTCCAGTCTAGTCATCAGCGCCTAGTCTGGCGCCTCTAGTCCAAAATAAATACTGCCACACCACCCTTCCTTAAAACGAGGAACAGTTTTGAGCTGTGTGGCTAAAATAACCAGACATTCTGCATTTTTCCAATAGGACTACAAAAATCTTAGCGAGAAGAAAAAATGGCAGATTGGCTGTGTTTAGCCAGAGGGCCATTGACCATATTTGGTAGTTATCCTGATGACATAAATTTCAGACATATTAGGTGTTTTGAAAAACTGAACAGGTGGACAAATATGCCCAAAACTTAATAATCAAATATCTAAATACTAACTCTAGTGAACAATATAAGCCTTTTTGCACACTTAGACACTTAAAATGTGAAACACACTGTGTTAATGGATAAAAAAGTGAGTTTTTCATGTTATGTCTCCTTTAATATGAGGAATGCTGTAAAGACTCTGACTAGTGTAACTTGGCCAAGGCCATATATTTGTCCACAGCCACACCGGCTAGTGTAACTTGGCTGTGGACAAATACATGGCCTTGGCCAAGTTACACTAGTCAGTGACTCGATGCAACCTGCTGGGTTTCTTATATAGGAAACTTTTTTGTGATTGGCTTAATGACCTGACCCGTATTGGAATGTTTACTATGTGAAGCGCCTTGAGACGACTCTTGTCGTGATTTGGCGTTAAATAAATAAACAAACACATTTAGCCGAGTGCTGTGTGAACACACGAGGTGAGAGCCTGGGAGAATATAACTGCTGCCAGAAACCTCTGCGTGTGTGAGGTTAGGAAACCAAGAGGAGATTCACAGCTTCACCACACACACACACACACACACACACACACACACACACACACACACACACACACACACACACACACACACACACACACACACACACACACACACACACACACACACACACACACACACACACACACACTCTTTTCTCATCCACAACTCGTAAAATGAATTGTGACTGAATTCCAGAAATGCTTGATGGAGACCATCATGACTCCAGACCATCCTTAATCCACACTGACTGGAAAGTGATGAGTTACTATTAGTAACAGATATATACAAGCAGGCTCTAGGGTTTAATTGAATTCAGTTAAATTCAAGTTTATTTATATAGCACCAAATCACGAAGAGTCGTCTCAAGGCACTTCACACAGTAAACACTCTAATACAGGTCAGTTCATTAAGCCAATCAGTAAAAGGTTTCCTATATAAGGAACCCAGCAAATTGCATCGAGTCACTGACTAGTGTCAGAGTCTTTACAGCAATCCTCATACTAACCAAGCATGCAGCAACAGTGGAGAGGAAAACTCCCTTTTAACAGAAAGAAACCTCCAGAGGATCCTGGCTCAGTATAAGCAGCCATCCTCCATGACTCACTGTGGGGTTTAAACAGTAATGAAAGACTAGGTGGAGACTGAGAGGATCATTTTGCATCAAATGCTTAAGAGAATTAGTTTTCTAAGAGCTAATGCTAATCTGATAATGTCAAGAAGACCTCCTGCTATTGCAGACCATGGATATATTCAGTGCACATATCTGTATTACCAAACACCAGTTTACCAACCATCAACCATTTTTATTTAAATTGGGTCTGTCTTTACCATATCATACCATACCAAATGCATTTCTAAAGCACATTAAAACACAGCATGAGAGCTGAGTGAAGTACTACACAATAAAAGCAGGCTTAAGATACAGGAAATAAGTCTAATTAATCAATGATGAAGCGTGTAGCAAA